TGCACCTTTCCAATGCTTCCACATCCTTCCTATAATGCGGTGACCAGAACTGTACGCAATACTCCAAGTGCGGCCGCACCAGAGTTTTGTACAGCTGCGACATGACCTCATGGCTCTGAAACTCAATCCCTCTACCAATAAAACCAACATACTGTACGCCTTCTTAACAACGCTATCAACCTGGGTGGCAACTTTCAGTGATCTATGCACATGGACACCGAGATCTTTCTGCTCATCCACACTACCAAGAATCTTACCATTAGCCCAGTACTCTGTATTCCTGTTACTCCTTCCAAAGTGAATCACCTCACACTTTTCCGCATTAAACTCCATATGCCACCTCTCAGCCCAGGTCTGCAGCTTATCTATGTCCCTCTGTAACCTGCAACATCCTTCGCACTATCCACAACTCCACCAACTTTGGTGTCATCTGCAAATTTACTAACCCATCCTTCTACGCCCTCATCCAGGTCATTTATAAAAATGACAAACAGCAGTGGCCCCAAAACAGATCCTTGAGGTACACCACTAGTAACTGAACTCCAGGATGAACATTTCCCATCAACCACCACCCTCTGTCTTCTTACAGCTAGCCAATTTCTGATCCAAACCGCTAAATCACCCTCAATCCCATGCCTCCGTATTTTCTGCAATAGCCTACCATGGGGAACCTTATCAAACGCTTTACTGAAATCCATATACACCACATCAACCGCTTTACCCTCATCCACTGTATCTGGATGTTCATTTCAAGAGTTTGGTTTTTTTTCCCCCCTTTATTCATTAAGGGGATGAGGGTGTCGCTGGCTAGGCAGCACTTATTACTCATTCCTAATTGCCCAGAGGGCAGTTCGAAGTCAGAGTCAATAACATTGCTGTGAGTCTGGAGTGACATGTAGGCCAGACCAGGTAAGTATGGCAGTTTCCTTCCCTAAAGGGCATTAGTGAACCAGATGGATTTTTCCGACATTGACTCACAGTCATTAGATTCTTAATTCCACATATTTACTGAATTCAAATTTCACCATGTGCCATAGAGGGACTGGAACCCAGGTCCCCAGAACATTATCTGGGTCTGTGGATTAACAGTCTAGCGATAATACCACTAGGCCATCACCTACCCTTGACTACTCTATGTATAACATATATCCTGAGCAACAGAAACTTTTACTAGCTTAAAGATATTGCTTTAATGCCAAGACTGTAAGATAAAATTAGGGCAAGGAATTGAAATTGTATTGGTATAGCTGCCAGTTGTCAAATACAGTTTTCCTTTCAGTGGTATTTTAGTAACGTCAATGCCAATAGTTGAACAGAAGTTGTATTTAATTGTACACAAATAATGAGTATCAACTGGACATTCATTTGTGCACCTAAAAATAGGCACAGGCCCAAAGTTGTATCTTTTGGGTTAGGAGATATCTATTTGTAATGTGCATCTCAAAATAAATTTGAATAAAAATGTGTGATGATTGGCTCCAGATCTCTGCTTCAACACCTGGATTTCTGGAACAGAACTTATTACAGCTAAAGGAGACATCAGTCTCATTAACACTGGGACAAAACCACTTAAAAGTAAACTTCTTTTATGTTAACTTGATTTAAATGTTTTGATAACAATACAATTAATGGTACCCTTTCCTTATTTGTTAAAATTCACAATATGGGCATACCAGACAGCAAAGAAAATGTACAGGCACATCTTACAGGAACTGGTGTCGTGGCAGCAAAAGCAGTTAATTAGACATCAATTTTACTCGCAAATTACACCTACATGTATCCAAGTTTACACTTTAAGTAATGTGTCACTGAAGTTGGGTTTGTTTTATACTGGCAGACAGACTTTCATTTACAAGGCACTCCTCACAAACTCCTAACATCCTGAAGCACTTTACAACCAACTAAATACTTTTGGCATCCTATCACGGTCACAAAAGTAGGAATTCTACCTGTCAATTTGCGCAACCTGCACAAAGGAGGTCGCTTGTTACAAGAGTTGATTGAGGAATAAATATCGATCAAGATACTGGGAAGAACATCCCTGCTTTTGTTCAAGTACAGGATCTAGGAATCTTGCAGTGAGTAACTCACTTCTTGAATCCCCAAAGCCTGTCCGTCATCTACAAGGTTCAAGTCAGGAGTGTGATGGAATACTCCCCACTTGGCTGGATGGATGCAGCTCCAACAGTACTCAAGAAGCTTGACACCATCCAGGACAGAGCAAAACATTTTGATTGGAACCATAACCACAAGCATCCGCTTCCTCCACTATTGATGGTCTATCAGCAGATGTACCAGCTACAAAATGCACTGCAGAAATTCACCAAAGCTCCTCAGACAGTACCTTCCAAACCACTACCATCAAGAAGAACAAGGACAGCAGATACATAGAAACACCACTTGCTAGATGTTCCTCTCCAAGCCACATACAACCTTGACTTGGAAATACATTGCCGTTCCTTCAGTGTTGCTGGGTCAAAATCCTGAAAATTCCTCTCTAACAGCATTGTGGGTCAACCCACACCAAATGAACTGTGGCAGTTCAAAAAAACAGCTCACTACCAACTCCTGAACAATATTTAGAGATGGGCAATTATTGTTGGCTGAGCCAGCAGCAACCATTTACCATGAGTGAATAAAACAAACAATTACATCCACCTAAAAGAGCAAATAGGACCTTGCTTTAACTCCTCAACCAAAAGAATGCACCTCTGTAGGGCAGCTCTCCTTCAACATTGTGCTAAATTGTTAATGTTAATGATGTGTTCAAGTCTCTGTTGGGGAAATGAACCCAAACTTCTAATGAGTGGTAACACTGAGCCACACCTGACGGCTACATCCTCATTTAGAAGGGCAACTGTGAATCAAGTGCATGATGCTGCATGTCTATGTGTCATTGCAATCCATGCAAACTAGTTTCAACTTATGTAGTTCAGCATGGTGTCATACAGTCATAGAGATATACAGCATGGAAACAGACCCTTCGGTCCAACTCGCCCATGCCATCCGGATATCCTAGTCCCATTTGCCAGAATTTGGCCCATATTCCTCTAAACCCTTCCTATTCATATATCCATACAGATGCCTTTTAAATGTTGTAATCGTACCAGCCACCACCACTTCCTCTGGCAGCTCATTCCACGTGCACATCACTCTCTGTGTGAAAAAGTTGCCTCTTAAGTCTCTTTTATATCTTTCCCTTCTCACCTTAAATCTATGCCCTCTAGTTTTGGACTCCCGAACCCTAGGGAAAAGACCTTGCCCCTGCTTACTTTATCCATGTCCCTCATCATTTTATAAACCTCTATAAAGGTCACCCCTCAACCTCTGATGCTCCAGGGAAAATAGTCCCAGCCTATTCAGCCTCTCCCGAAAGCTCAAACCCTCCAACCCTGGCAACATCCTCATAAATCTTTTCTGAACCCTTTCTAGTTTCACAACATCCTTCCTATAGGAGGGAGACCAGAATAATAATTGAGGACTATTATGGCACAATGGTAATGTCCCCACCTTTGAGTGTGGAGGCCTGGGTTCAAGTCCCACCAGTGGTGTGTCTCTGAATTCATTGATTAGAAAATATAATTTATGATAATATAGGAAAAGTGGGTGAGATTAAAAGGCACTGAAATAAATCCTATATTTCCCACCTATAGATTTCTATTGGTGACACCGCTGATTGAGACACCTTCTTGGAAAACAGCCTGAAATTCAAATTTCAGTGGGCATATAAACTGGGCTCCTAGAGAATAGGAGGGCGGAACCTGATCATTCTCAGTTCAAAGTCTGCGGTTGCTGTAAAAACTGCAACTCAGATCAAGTCTTCAAAGTACCACAGTGTGCATACATTTTAATTCTGTTAGGGGCCCGCAGTCAGGGTTCACAGGAGGGAGCTGGAACATGCTTGGAAGTACTGTAAAGTGGAGACTAATCAAATTCCCATTTATACAGCTTTGCCTCATGAAAGTCCCAAAATAAACCAAGTCCCAAAGCTGGGCATACCCCATTCTAAATTTAGAACTTGTGGACTTTACTCTGGACTAGCAGCTTCCACGAACAACAACAACTTGCATTTATATAGCCTCTTCAGAATACTAAACCATCCCAAGGTGCTTCACAGGGGCATTATTGTACCAATTTTGACAAACTCAGCCACTGAAAGAGATCTTATAATATGTGATATAAAAGTTTGGTTCAACAGGCAGATTTTCCAGAGTGTCCTCAAGTAGATGGATGTGCAGAGGTTTAGGGAGGGAATCCCAGCTAGCTGAAAATGTCAATGGTGAAGGAAAGAAAATCAGAGATAATGAAGAAGATATAATCAGATGAGTGTCAAAAAGTCATCAGTTTGAGAGGTTGGAAGAAACCAATGAGGCAGAAAGAGTGGTAAAGAGTTTAAAAATGGTGAGGGGATTTTAAAATCAACATTCTACTTCACTGACAGGGCACAGGGCGATGGGAGAAGAGGGACTTCGTATGAATTTAGATACAAACAGAGTTTTGGATAAGTCTACAGAAGACAAAAGGTACAGGCTGACCAGCCAGGAGAGCGTAGTCAAGGTTACTGGCGGGCATCGTTAAGGGTTTCAGTAGTAGATGGGCTGAAGCTAAATGGACACTATTCCTGAAGTGAAAATAGTCTTGGCGATGAAGAAACTACAGCGTGAGAAGAACAGCTCATTGTTAAACAGGATACTCAGTCAGTTGAGATTCAGTGAGAGAGAAATGAAAATAAGTTGAAAGAGACTGGGCCCAGCTCCTGCTAGCCTGTACAATACCACTTTTCTGCCCCCACCAAAAAATGAATACACTTTCAATCTTAACAAAAATTAGAGAGTTTGTTGTTTAAAATACAATTTTGGTACTGAACTACAGTGGTTCTCAAAGGGTTAATGCATGAATGCACCTAACGCACAACACAGAACAAATAATCTCCAAGCGTCAGCAAAATTAACCTTAAACACCAACAAATGCCATAAATACCAAGCATAATTTCTCCTTACCCCCTCCTTGAATTGAGAGTAAAGCATCCAAAAGATAAATTTGCCTTAATACTTTCTAGTTCAGTAAGAAAGTTGACTCCTTTGTTATGTAAGCAGTTGTTCTGGATGGGGGAGGGGCACTCATCTGAAAGGAAAACGATGATATTTTGGGAAATAATTAGATACTGTTGTACAGTACATGCTTGTAGTGTCAGACAGTTAGAAACAGCAGTGCAATACCACATATATGACTCTTATTTTATTTAAAAGACTGCATTCAGGCAATCTGAGGCCAGCTAAATAGCTTTCAGCCATGATAGCATTAATGCACGTCACAGCCCTGGTTACATTGCACACCACAGCTTCGGTAGCCCTGCCTGCCAGCCCTCATGAAGATACATCTTGAAACAGAATCATTTGTTCACAGAAGCATGGTCAAAGAATCTCATGAGAAAGCACAGCGGGATGAAAATGCCACAAACCACCGACAGCTGCTTCAGTTTCACTTTCAGTCAAACATTGTCACATTTAAAAGCAGACAAAGAAACGGTAGGTGATCTACAGAGCACACATCATACATCAGATCTAATCTTTTTTAAAACATTCCCAAAAACATTCATAAAGTTGGATTTGCGACATTTACCAGTAGGCAAAACTGCTGAACAGCATAGTATCATGGCTTGTAATCAGTTTAAAATAAAGAACTGATATTCCAAGTTAAACGCCATGTTTTATATGGGATTGCCTAACATGTCTGGCAGGGAAATTGATGACATTTAATGGGATGTCCATTTCTCCCCACCCACCTTCCTCCATTTTATTTTCAGCTGCTCTGTTAAACCATTAAGGCCCCTGTTAAAGGTGTACAAGTTTCCACTCTTTTCAAAGTTTCACAGGAGATTTCCTGACCCACCTAGCCAATATTCATCCTTCATGTGAACAGCTGCAAGACAATTAAGTTTGCTAACCATCTCATTCCTGTCTTTAGAACTCCGCAGTAAACAAAATGAATGTTGCATGATGATATATTAATCAGTATTAAAACAAAATTTAACATAAGAATTCTGCTACATCCCCAACAATAAATTCTAGTGTTTGGCCCTGACAGCAGAAACGTGGAGGTTTGGCCTGCAACATTTGGAGTCTAACCATTGAAGTTACGAGTATGGCTATTTCATAAAATTGCAAAAACAAAATTCCCAATAGGCTCCAACATCAGAGCTTGTTATTTTTCTGGTCACTGTTACAAAGAGCTTTGCTGACATTTAACATTAAATAATTTTTCAGGCATTTTAAATACTGAAGAGGGAAATTGGTTAAGACTGCTCCAAAACAATGGCAAGTGCCTAAAACTGTAATTAGTAGAAAGTGTACAATTTGATCACTCTGTATTTTAAAATAATGTAATCCTGCTAGAACACACATTTGCACAATATTCCAACCAGATCATTGATGCTTCGTGCTTGCCACTGGCTATAGTGTGGAATACAATCATTACTAACTTCATAAATCACACTTCTCCCATCCAATATGATCTACAGGTTTGGTTTATGGGCATGTATGAAATTAAAATTTTTGGCAAACAAAATTCAAGGGTACATGTTAGTTTGGGAAGAGACAGCCCTACTGAGTAGTAATGTTCCCCTATTGAAAATGGAAAAAAAATAATCTGGATCTTATACATACTGCACTATACATTACCACAATAAACAGTCTCAGGTACAGAGTAGCTCTGCATCCAGTTGAAACCTCAAGCTTAAGCTCCTAATCTTGATGAATTCATTTGTACATGTCTGTAATCCACCCATGCCTGTTATTCTATGCACTGTTGGATGCAATTAAAGAGATTTTAATAACTGTAAAGAACCAACTAAAGGAAGACCAAAAGATCACAGCTGGAACTACAAAAAGAAGATGAAATCAGCATTGTTGAAAAGGTTAATATCTTTTCTATCGATTTCCTTTAGCAATTTTGTTTCTTCCATTTATGACAGTTATTAATTTATAAATGTCTTAACTATTTATTTTAATTTAGACCCAAAAAGGATTGAAATTTTCTGAGTTAATTTGCAGTGTGATAAAATATGTGGAAAATATATTGCTATCATATTTGGATTATTTCAAAGGGTTAGGCCAACAGGTATAAGTTATTGCCATGGGGGATTTTCTTTTTTAAATAGTCAGAATGTCATTCTGGAACAGTGACCGAAATGTACCTGTTCCAAGAAGATATGTGACTGCCACTAAGGACTTGGTGAACCCCTGGAGTGTTAATAGACTAGGAAGTTTATAGCTGAGGATGGGTTCTGAGGAAGGTTAACTCTGATCTTTTTTCTTCACAGATGCTGCCAGACCCACTGAGCTTTTCCAGCAACTTCTGTTTTTGTTCCTGATTTACAGCATCTGCAGTTCTTTTTTAGTTTTTAACTAGGATGTTTATAGCATCAGGTTGAGCATAGTGATATTAAATCATTAGTTTTATTTTCATTTCAGTTTAGAAAAATCAGAGGTTTACTTGAAATGAATTAAGAGTTGAGCTCAGGAAGAAATTTTAGTTTCTCTCTTGGCACAGTTCAACTGAAAATAAGGACAATTTCAGCATAGGGTTTTTAATTCATATCTATTCAGTTCAGAGTAACCATTATTTGCAACAGTTCTTGATTTTTCTTTTTTCTAGTTTATGAAATTTTTAAGTCAGGAGAATTTGGGATAGAAATCTTAAGGTTGTTAGATTTGGAAAAAGTTTAAGCCATCAGACTTATGAAAGATTCATGCCTCAGACTTAGAGATAATAAAATGATCTTGGAAGTTCATGTAAAAGAATCTGAAAGCTGTCAGTTAAATAGACACTTAAAGATTTGAGATAGGGATGTAATTTCTCTGGACTTGATTCTCTGTAACTAATAACACTGGGAAACAGGTTGAAATGTTGTTTTGTTCTTCATGTTACAATCTCTTTAAACCAGCTTCTAAATCTATATAGCCATGTTTCTGTTCTCTCATGTAATAAACTTACGTTGTGTTGTTAAAGAACACCTGCAGTCTCATATGAATATGTTTCAGTGACTAATCAACACATTAACTAACAAACAAGATGAAACACATGTTCTATTAAGCCAGGTTTCATTCTGGGATCTAACTTGGCCAATAACACACTCAGCTGGGATCACAACAACAGTTTCTGGACTTTCACCTAAAGGCAAATTTCCAAATTATAAGACCATTACACCATAAGAAACAGGAAAAGGAGTAGGCCATTCAGCCCTTCAAGACTCTCTGCCATTCAATAGGATTATGGCTGATCCGACATTCCTCATATCCACTTTCATGTCTTTTCCCCTTTACCCTTGATTTCACTGCTGATCAAGAATCTATCTCAACCTTCAATATTCACAAAAACTCTGCCATTTCTCTTCCCCTGAGGTCTCTGTGGCAAGGCATTCCAAAGACTCTCAACCCACAGAGAAGAAATTCCTCTTCATCTCAGTCTTAAATTGGTGCCCTTATATTCTGACACTACGCCTTCTGATTCTCAACTCCCCCATGAGGGGAAATATCTTCTCAGCATTTACCCTGTCAAGCCTCTTAAGAATCTGATATGTTTCAATGAGATCACCACTTATTCATTTAACCTCCAGTGAGTAGAATCCCAACCTGTTTAGCTTTTGCTCATAAGACAATCCCTCCATACCAGGGATCATCCTACTGAACATTCTCTGAACTGCCTGCAATGAAATGAGGGAATCAAAATTGCTCACAGACTCAAAATGTGGTCTCACCAGCAACTTGTACAGTTGTAGTGAGATTTCCCTATTCTTAAATGCCAAGCCCCTTGAAATACGGGCCAAAATCCATTAACCTTCCTGATTACCTGCTGCACCTGTGTGCTAGCTTTGTGTTTTATGCACAAGTGCTCCCCCATGTTGCAATTTTCTGCAGCTTTTCCATATTTAAAATGCAAGGCAGTGGCATCTTCTGAAAAAGAATCACTTGCCTCTAATAGTGACCACATTATGGAATATGCAAAGCTTACATATTCAGTAGGCCAACCATATCTGACTCAGTTTAACTAAATTAGTACATCTTAGAATATGTATAAAATTATGAGGGCCTTGGTACAGTTGACAGGAGGAGATGTGTCCACATGATGGAGGGATCAATGGCCAAGGGCATACATTTACGGTAAGGTCAGGAGGTTTTGGGGAGATGAGAAGGAAAACCTTTTCACCCAAATGGTGGTGGGAATCCGGAACTCACTTCCTGTAAGGGTGGTAGAGGCAGAAACCATTATAACATTTAGGAAGTATTTAAATGTGCACTTGCATTTCCAAGGCATACAAGGCTATGGGCCAAGTCCTGGAATACGCGATTAGAATATTTTGGTGGTTGTTTTGACCAGTGTATACACGATGGCCAAAGGACCCTTTCCTGTGCTGCAGAACTCTATGACTTAGCGAGGGGAGACTAGGGACAAGAATAAAAGGAACTGGTTTCCATTCTTTATTGCTACTAGAACCATATGGTGATATCTGCTGGACTGGCATGTTTTGATCACCAGGTAAGAAAGAATTTAGGCCTATGTTGCCTTCCACGGGTAACTGCCCACTGACAGGCAGCATTAGGACTCTTACACGAAGAATGGACACTTACTGGTTTGGCATATACATGAAGAATGTGGAGATTCTGCAAGTTGAACCACATCTGTAGAATTGTAATCAAGCAAGACTTGGTACCTTCGGGAGGAGGAAAATAGACAAAGAAACACGTAAGTCCACTTTATTATCATATTAAACTACCAAATACAAATTCCGAGTTGTAGCTACATAGAAAATGAGGTTTAAAGCCCACTGGCTGGGTTCTAGCTTTGTGTAATAAACACATACGGACACACGCATCAATTTCCTTCTGCTGCATACTTTCCAAAAATAAACTATTCTTATGCAATATTCTCAGAGGAGTGATTGTATAACCCAAGGGCAAGTGTAGAGCAATAGTATTTTTTATTAAAGCAAGTATTATTGAGGAAAGAAGAATCTTAAGCAAATATTCTCCTTTAAACTTAAACACATTCAAGTTGTGATGTGCTTCCATTTGGCTGGTGACTTCAGTTTTCACTACAGTCCACAGGCACAAAAGGTATTAGCTGCCACAGTTAGAAAGAACACATATGGGTCTGGATTTTAGGAACACCCCCACCATCCTTGATGTTTTCAGTCGGGATGGGGTGGAGTTCACACTTACCACCTACGCACCGATCCCGAGCTCCCTCCATGATATAGTAGGTAGGTGGACTTTGAAGTCAACGGTCTGCCTGTAAATGGAGTGGGATAATAGACTTCCCAAGCCACAATACTGTCATCACGAGTCAGCATTGAGTTTTTTGAAGTTGGTTTTATAAAGGTCAGGGAGGGAAGATGGATCATTCGAGGAATGCCACACGCATATCAGGGGGACCTGTACTTCCACCATGTTGTCGCCCAACAATTTGTTCCTTCTTGTTTGCCTTCCAAATACCTGGGCCCTCGACACCTCTCTTCCTGGGCTCTCAGATTCCTCCTGATCTAAATGCCCAGGACATACCTGGTTCAGACAGACATTGCTCCTCATCCCGCTCCTCCTTACAACTCCAGCAGCAGCCACTGCTGTGCTGTGTTACTGCAGGCCTTGCTAGACCTGCCATCCAATTTAGTTGACCAGCAGCTCTCAAGGGCAGGATATCCACCGGGCGCATGTAACACTTTTAACTAGCTGGGTCCACCCACAGTGCATTATGGCTGTACGACTAGCATCTTTCTTGTGTGTTCGCTGCCCGTTGACTCCCCTTTCAGGGGCTGGTGGAGAAATCTGACACCCCCTGGAAATTACAGACCATGGTTTATGTTGCATCCAAAGAAACTACGATCCACATTTCCAAAAAGGAAAATTTAAGTTTCCTGATGCAGCAACCAAGTTAAAGAAAAGATAGAATACTTGCGTTTACATAGTGCCTTCTATCTCAGAATCACAGAAATCCTTACAGTGCAGAGAGTAACCATTCGGCCCATTGTGTCTGCATCAGCTCTCTAACCATTTTAACTTGGTGTCATTTGCCCATAACCCTAAATATTGAGCTATTTAAATCATTATCAAATGCCATCAAATGCCTCAGCTAAACTTGTCTCCAGCAGAATTCCAGGCATTGTATTCCAAACTCTAACTAATCACCATATGAAGAACAAAAACAAAGTTGCTGAAGAAGCTCAGCAGGTCTGGCAGCATCTGTGAAGGAAAAAGAACAAAGTTAACGTTTTGGGTCCAGTGACCCTTCCTCAGAACCCAAACCGGACCCGAAGCGTTAACACTGTTTTTCCCTTCACAGATGCTGCCAGACCTGCTGAGCTTTTCCAGCAACTTCTGTTTTTGTTCCTGATTTACAGCATCCGCAGTTCTTTCGGTTTTTATTCACCATATGAAGAAGTTTGTTTGTTCACATTGCATTTGCTTCTTTTGCAAAACACTTCCAAACTGTGCATGTAGTCTTGGCTCATTTAAAAGTGGGAACAATTCCTCTCCATGCACTCCGTCCAGATTCCTCATGGTTTCCAAAACTTCCAACAACTCTTCTCCAGGTCTTCTCCTCCCCAAGGCAAACAGTTCCGGAGTCAGAGTTTTCCAGCATGGAAACAGACCCTTCAGTCCAATTTGACCATGTCAAACAGGCTTCCCAAACCAAACTAGCCCCATTTTCCTGCATTTGGCCCATATCCCTCTAAACCTTTCCTATCCATGTACCTGTTCAAATGTCCTCTAAATGTTGTAACTGTACCCGCATCTATCACTTCCTCTGGCAATTCTCTGTGTGAAAAAGTTGCCCCTCAGGTCCTTTTTAAATCTTTCTCCTCTCACCTTAAAATTATGCCCTCTAGTTTTGAACTCCCCCACCCTAGGGAAAAGCCCTTGGTTATTCACCTTATCCATGACCCTCATGATTTTATAAACCTTTATAAGGTCACCCCTCAACCTCCTACACTTCAGGGAAAAATAGCCCAGCCTATCCAGCCTCTCTTATAACTCAAACCCTCCAGTCCCTGTAACATCTTGGTAAATCTTTCTGCTGCCTTAGTGTCTCATCCCTGGAGTCATTCTCATAAAACTCTTCTGCATGTTCTCCAATGGATTCGCATTCTTTTTATAGTATGCTACTCAGAATTCTACTCAATACTCCAACTGGAGTCTCACTGATTACTTATATAAGTTCATTATAACCTTCCTGCTCTTGTATTCTATACTCCTGTTTACAGATAAAGTCAGAAGTCACACAACACTGGGTCTATCAGTGATGAAGGGGCCACACTCCAAAAGCTTGTGTAATTCAAATAAACCTGTTGGACTATAACCTGGTGTCGTGTGACGTCTGACTTTGTCCACCCCAGTCCAACAGCGGCACCTCCACATCATGGCTATTTATGGATCCTAGCAATACTGTATACCTTATTTACAGCTCTCTACATTTTCTGCCTCACATTATGATTAATGTACATAAACACCCAGGTCTCTCTGCTCCTGCACACTCATTAGAATAGTACACTGTGTTTTATACTGTCGCTCCATTTTCTTTGTACCAAAATGCATCATCTCACAATTCACCCACACGGAACTTCATCTGCCACCATTCCACATGTTCCTCCTCGCAATTTAAAATGCTCCTAAATTTTGTGTTGTCTGCAAATGTTGAAATTGTTCCCTACGCACCAGGACCTAGGTTATACATGTATAGGAAAAGTAAGGATCCCAACTTTGACCACTGGGAAACGCCACTACAAACCTTCTTTCAGCCTCAAAAATACCCATTATCCATTATTCTTTACTTCCTAGCCCTGAGCCATTTTCTGTATCCAATCTCATTACTATCCCTTTTATTCCATGACCTATAACTTTCTTCACAAGTCTGCTGGTGGCACTGCATCAAACACCTTCTGGAAGTCCATGTATACCCCATCCACAGCTTTCCCTTCATTAACCTCTTCCAAAACTCCAACAAGTTAGTTAGACACCATTTTCCCTTTTTTCAAATTTCCAGGTCATGTGTCTTGTGTCAATGGTTCTATAACTCAGAGCCTGTGTGCTGACCCTTTGAGCATGCCAGGGCTTTGCCCTAGGACTTATGAACCTGAGGGGCCCCAGGAATCCTGGGACCACACTGAAAATAGAGTAGGCGAGTCTATTTTTAATTTTTCTTTTCAACTTCTACTCCCTCCACTGTGAACTGATTCTCTTAAAGTTTCAAGGCCTTCTGACTGTTACTGTCCAAAATGAGCCTCAAGGAATAAATTCCAGCATCCACATCCATAGCTGTAGCTCACTCTGGCCTGTAGCTACACTTTTGTTTCTATTCCTCTCCTCACAGAAGGTCCTGCCAAGGCACAAAGAGTGCCTATCGGGCAAACAAATGGTATGAAGAAGCTAATTTGAACACTCAGCCCTTACTGCGGCTTACAGCATCCTAAAGCATCTGTTCGGTATTCAAAGGAAACATTTTGTTTTGATGTACCTACCCACCTGCAGCACCGACAATACAACTTTTATTTACTCTGCTGACTTCCAATGTAAATGAGGATAAATATCATAAACAAATTTGCTTACACAATATCTATTAGTGAGGAATGTCCATCCAAAGGATTCATTTGAGTCAGTTGTTATCTTGATTAGGGACAAAAAAAAAAGTCATGTGGCAATCTTGACACATTAAGACATAGGCAAATTAATGTCAGTCAGTCATTATTAGCACCATCAGACCCTTAGCTAATATTCCATTTAATTACTGAGGTCTAATCTATAAATATGTCATAACCGTTATATTTCTAGTGGTACAGAAGCACATGGAAATCTATCATATTCCTTTATAATTAAACAGTACCCTGTAGTGGAGAAGTACAGAGGACTGAAAAGAAGCATGGTTGGAATCCATCTAGTCAGTCTGAGTCGCTAGGAAACATCAGATCACACAATACCCATAATGCTACTTTATCAAATCATTCTCCAGGTACTTATTCAACTCTTTGTTTAATTCTCCTTGTTCATGCTGCACAGTGAATTTAGAAACCAACTGCACACAAAAAAAAACACTTATGCACAGTTACTCAAAGGTCATCTTGAGAACAATCCACTTCTGACTGGGGACCTTCTGAGACAATAGGTTTAGATGGACTATAATATGTCAAGTGCGTTTGCAGTTTTTGCCTGTGACAATGTGCTTCCAGCTGAAAGGAACAAACCACCTCAGGAGCTTGTGTTCTCTACCTCCAGGGACAAATCCAAAATTCAACGTGGGCATTCTGAATGCAAGAACCTCAGGATCTTGCAACACTAATGCCCAATGACAAAATTGCTGCTTTCTTTATAAGATTTGTTTCAGAATGTGGGTAGTGCAGGAAAGTGCTTCACTTTTTTCTCCCATGTCGTAGGGTATTCTCACAGCATTCTTTTTCAAACATGAAGAAAACTGATTGTTCTGTGGCTTTTTCTTTATCTCTTGCTGCTGACAGCCAGAAGGAAAGGATTATAAACTTTCCAATAATAGGTCCACAATATTTCTTTTTGATGCAGACACAAGCTAGTGAATTTCTCCAAAGTAGGTTATTAGTATGTTAACTACATCTTATCCCAGCATTTTTGTAAACAAGTCTATATACACAATGCTGTTAAAAAAACAAATTCCAAAATGTAACCAGGCGCAATGACTTTTGTCATTACT